CCCCATACACATCTTGAGCCTTATCAACTTTAGAGCCTATATCGGATGTCTCTTATTAGACTCATACATAAAATTTTAAAGTGATTGTGTTGACTATTGAACTTAGGGTCAAATAATTTACTAGGAAAATTATATACAAAAGCTATATTTCTAAATTGTGATTTTGACTTCGTTATTATATAGACAATATAGGATTATTTATTTCTAAAAGATGGAAGAAAGATTCCATATTGATTGAATCACACTTCCCTACTCCTATGAACGGATGTACTATACGTTGTAGATTCTAGATTCAAAACCCTAACGAAACGAGAATCATTACGTGTGGAATCATGTATTATTCGACGTGGACTCAAGATTCAATCTTTGCTGGAATCACGATTCGATGTATTTGGGAACGACTTTCCACAAATAATGGGTTCAAAATTCTAAAGATGTATTAAAACAAGATTCCTAAATTAAGCAATCAAGATTTTGTGGTTCCGAGAAACAATTACGGTGAAGATTCCTTAATGGAATCGCCGAATCGGGTTTCCAAACCGGAATCATGGGGTGTCGGCAAAGAGATTCCAGTAACTATGCATGAGAAGGTAGGTGGTACCTTGATTTGAAAGTTTGCTACCAACATGATAAAGCCAAAGGAGATAGGCTAAAAAAATCACAACAATTATGGTTCTTTGTTTTTTTTTTTTCTTTTTCCTTTTTTTTTTATCTTATGTAATTTATAAATCATAAATACTATACTATGGTTGAGACATATGTTCCACGAAAAGGCTAGTCATGCAAATTGGTGATGACATAATCTTCAAAAAAAAAAAAATGAGAGTATGCTCAAGAAGTTATACATGGCAGAAATGGATGAGACCAATTTTTTGTAACCACAGTATCAAGCAAATGGACCTAGGTAGTGAGAATTATTCGAAGAAGAAATTAAGAGGGGTGTGCTTGGCATATCTAAGGATAAAGTGCCAAGATCATATAGTTTCTTGATTCATTTCTTTCAAGAGATTTGAAGAAATTTTCACTATTAAAACAAAATAATTATGGTGCATAATGCATAATTTAAACCAGATTTCCAAACAGGAAGAAGTAGATAGCAGCACGAATTTCAATATTGTCAACTTAATCAGAGGCGTGAATAAAATTATAACGCTCTCCCAAAAGGTAAAATTATGCCATTGTTACATATCCTACTCACAAAGTCTTTGCTTGAAGGAGGTCCATTATTAAACGTTCTTGGGTGCAAATGCACTCAGGAACATGTAATCCAATCATACAGGCATATACAATACTCGCTTGGAGAATGCGATAAGCATACTGATAGAAAATTTTTGGATCATGTTGACAATGAATGATTAGGGACTGTTTGAACGAAAAAACGCTTTTCAAATTTCAATTGCAATTGACCAGACGTGAATTTGGTCAATTTCATTTGCTCTATGTGGATGTTTGATTGCTACAATTTGAAGTATAAATTGTTATTGTGGTGTGATATGGTAGTAGTGGTAGTTGTGGTAGTGATGGTGTGATGCTGGTGGCATAATGTGATAGTGGCAGTGCGGCAACGTGATGATGCAATGGTGGTGGTTGTGGTGGAGCAGGTAGAGTGGCAGTGGTGGTGGTGGTGGTGGTGGCCGGGTGGCAGTTAAAGTGGTGGTGGAGGTGATGGCAAGTTGGCAGAGGTGCAATAGTGGTAGAGAGTAGTGGTGGTGACGATGGCAGGGAGAAGGTGGTGGTGGAGTGGTGATGGTAGAGAGTGCTAGTGGTGTTGGTGTGTTGCAGAGATGATGGCGGTGGCATGGTAGTGCTGGTGCTGGTTGTGTCAACAACATAGTGGAGAGGCAATGATGATAGAGAGTGGTGGTGCAGTGGAAGTGGTGGTGGCAGGGAGGTATTGGTGGTGGTAGAGTGTTGGTGATCGTGAGGTGGTGGTGTGGTGGTGGTGGCGAGGCAGTAGCGGTGAGTGGTAGTGGTGGTGGCAACAGTGATGGTGGTGGTAGAAGAGAGAGAGAGAGCCAAAGAAAGAGAGTAGTGGTGGGAGAGAAAGAGATTGTATTTTTTACAAAACAGCTTGGACTAGTTTTACGAAAAAATTCAATTTGGAAGCCCAATTGGGAATCAATTCAAATATACAATCAAACGTCTCTTGCGGTTATATTATCAGTTAAAATTTTCACATAGGTCCAAATTGTAGTTTCACTAGGAAATCAAACGGTACCTTAGAGAACATTGGACTCAACGGGTCCGAGTTTGTAAAACCCACACAGTGTGTCTCTCAATCATTGTGGATGTTGTAGGGGATTTAAGCAAGTGAATTGTGATCCTTGTTCTAATTCACAACTATGGTGAAATTTATTAGTATGATACTTACAAAAGGGTGATTTCCACTTGGGAAAGGTATGTCAAGATTTTCGTTTTCAATTTGTGGATGACACTCTGCGGCAAACATGTGGAACAAAGTTCCTCCTCGAGATTTATGTTGAGGCCATTTTAAAATAAAAATTAAATTTGTTTGAAAGAAAAGTTATGGGTAAAAGTCCCGAGGAAAAATTCAAATATTGCCTAGCATCTACGGCACCTAAAATGAAGTTGTGTGAGAAGTTGGTGATGAGGATAGATAGAAAACTCAACAAGCAGAAAAGAAATACTCTCTGGAGGTGAGTACTACTGAAGAAGTCAAAGGTGGTGGTCATTGCGATTTACTGTGTCTTCCTCCATAAGACACCAAAGGTAATAGGTGAACAATTTGAGAAAATGGAAGGGGATTTTTTTTGTGGAATGGTAGGGAGTATGCAACTCAAAAACCTAAAAAAACCAGGTTATCATAGTATGAATCAGATGAACAGTGTTCTTTCATACATGTAGAAGTGGAGGCTGAATTCCCTGAAGCAGGGTTCATTATGGATATAATGCCTGGGATAGGAGGTGGAAAGAAATGGTAAATGCTTCTATGACATGGAAGGAGAACAAGAAATTGCTAATGGAATTAGAATAAACATGAAGATAGTAGTAGTAGTGGGAGAAAATGTCAGTTCTAGGTTGAAATTTCTGTGGGAGATTTTAAGAATGCCTTACCAAGGATTAAAGCCTGCAGAGAATCTTAGATGTCGAGTTGATAACTGTTTCCATCAAGGATCTAAGGGACAAGTTGGATAATGAAATAAGAAAGCCAGCAAAGTTACTTTGGACCAAAGAGAAAACTGACCAAAATGGCATAAGTCTCCTCTTATTGTTTTGTCAATTAGTGAAACAGCAATAATAAATTAAAAGAGAAATATACATTGCTGTGCAACTAAGCTCTCTTGTACACTCTCAAAGTAAGAATACTAAGCTCTCTTCTATTTTGAATGTTTGACACTTAGTCCATCAGGCACATGTATGTTGTGTTCAGATGGGGATTTAGGATCACTGGACGGTCAAATGTTAGCAATATATTGGATCTGAAAAGGGCCTAAATATGGTCAACTTATCTCAACGAAAAAATATTAATAATAAAGGACCTAGACATTTCATCTGACTCCAGGCTCACTTCAGAATGGTTTGAATGTAGCCCAAACAACAGAAGAATGAAGCTGATACCCGTTCCCATAGACACCAAGAAATTTTTCAACAATTGTGACTAGTCTACTGCTAGGATTAACAGCATGTTTTCTGTTCTGGGCTTCTATCCTGGAAAAATTAAGAATCTCTAACAAATGTTTGGAATCAACAAAATGAGTTTACAAATATCTACCAGTAATATGGCCAGGAAAATTGCACTATGCAGTTCAAAAGTCCCATATATGCGCATAAATAGGCTGTTCTTGTTATTTTGCTACTAAGTGACAAATTATATAGAGTGGTCACTGATCAACCACTCCCATTCAAGGAAATGAATAAGATCCATTTACCTGTAATCAAATTAACAAAAAAAATACCTTTTTTTTTCCGAATTTAAAAATAGACACATGTATTTTATATTTAACACTTTAAGTCCTCTTTTTTATAGGAAAGGGGCTGGGGTCGTGGTGGTAGCATCCCCACACCCAGTTACCACATCATGGTATCCATTCCTACCTCTGAGAGCCCCACTTAACACCTTCAAAATGAGAGCCCCACTTAACGCCTTCAAAATGTAACTCCGTAATCTATTGAAAAAACATGTAGGGCCTTCCCCACTGAATTACCCCAAAAAAAAAAAAATCTCTTTTCTATAGTAAATATTGGATTTAAATTCATTCTATTTTCCATATATCCGATTAAGCACAAATTTTGGTCATCCCATGCTTCTCATCATAATGCATTTAAAAAAAAGTTAAAAGCGTATTTAATTGAATGAACTGACAAATTACCCCCACAAATTTCAAAGTTTTAAGGGTATTTTGGTCATTTTATTATCTTAAAATGTTTATTCAGAATTTTCACAAATTTGAGATGGTGAGAAGCATCAAATCCCCAAATTTGAGTTTGATCTGATGTATAGAAAATTAAATAAACTTAAAATACAATTTGCATTCTCAAAAAGTGGGACTTGAGCTTAATAAATACATAATAGAGGACTATTTTTTAATTTTAATAATTAAATAGGATTTTTTTCTGCGAATTTCCCTAATTATTAACCAATACCCACCCATCAACAAGAATAATCAACCAACCAAATATGAAACTCAAAAGGACGAATGACAACAAATCCTAACCATTCCATAAGAAATGTTCAAACGAAAGACAGACATAGACACAAAACACCTCCCAATAACTAAGTCATTCAAACTTATCAACTGACAAAAGAACCCAGCACACAGCAGAAACAAGACATTAATAATTCATGCAGTTGCAAACTAACGGCACCAAGAAACAAGCACATCATAAAAAATACAGGGAATTTGACATCATTCCAAAGAAATATAAGAAATTGAAGTAAATTTGTGAGCATTTTATGAACTAGGGCTAACTGGAAAATCCATACATTTGCAGGGTAGGGCAAAAGCCAAGACGGAATGTGTAGAATCAGAAGAACACACCTCCTTTTGATTCAATAGATATGGGACATTGCTTGGTTGCAGATACATTGTTAATGGGAGAGAAGACAAAGCCTGGTTTCGTGTGAAGAGCAGAGGCACCATTGATTTGAAGTAGAGTGTCGTCTTCTTGGACAATGTCTATGAGAGAGAGAGCGTCTTCCGCCAATGGGGGTTCCATTTTGACCAAACCGTAAAAGCCAGTGGAATTGTACAGAGAGAAAGAGAAGGAAACGTAAGAACGATGATTCCCTCTTCTCTCTCTGAAAGTTGAAGAAAGAAACTGATGGAGAAGGCGTGTGATGGATCTCGATTTTTCAGATCTCAGAGCCTCGCATTTCAAAATTTAAAGCGGTAGAGAAAATTAATGAAATGCCCCTATATCTTCAAAATATTACAAAAATTGCCATGCATTCACCCAAAGTAAAATAAACGACAAATTAATTTATTTTTTTAATTGGAAATGAATCATTGGCCTCAAGGAACCCAATGTGCATTTAGTCCTAAGCTAAAACACCAAGTTAAGGCACTATTTTCACCGCAAGAGTCTCAAATCACCTTCATTTATATCCCATGATAATTTAAAAAGTAAGATGCTTAGAGCTCAAAAAAAAATGTTTTAATTAATTTCGCGGTTAAAGTTGTGGATGAATCATATAATTGATTAACATGCATAGTTTGCAAAGTTTGAATCTTCCTTTTTTTTTTCTTTTTTTCTTTTTTTGGGTCTCTTGGTATCTATTATGGTGAATCAAAGAAGTTTTTGCGAGACTTGAAGTTTATAAAAATAACGAGGTGTTGGGCCCAATGGAACAAATGCATGATTTAGTCCCATGGTACTACCATTTATCAAATATCAAGAAAAATAAGAACCACAAAACCACCAAGTACAAGCCTAGCTCTATGTTAGAAAAAGAATGTTGCTTATTTGCTGGAACGTGGTCTAAAAATCTATTTGTATGTTTAATTACAAAGTATGAAGCTCATGTGCAAGTGAATTGCATGTTAGGTTCCGTGATAATCAAAATCACCACTAACATGTTTCTTCAAAAGATTTTGAGTATTATAGTGTAAAAATAAATAAAAAGGTTTTTTTGGAAAGCAATAGAGAAGCCCTATTGATCTTTATAAAAATAAAGAATGTTGAGTTTGTGGCCATTAAATGCTTTACGAGTGTTTGTAATTGAACTTTTGATATAATGAAACATGAACTCAGTGAGAGTGTGGCCTTATGTGGACCATACTAAGAAAACGATGTTTGCTGATACCGGACTGAGCTTTACGAGTTAGGTCAGTCTGGTTGGGAAAAACTCATATTGTATAGAAAATAAATCGATAAGGGTTATGATGGGTCATCCCTTGATGAGGTCGAAGTATGACGAAAGAGTGAGTCGAGGGACTATGTGGCCATTGTGTGTGATGGAGGCCTTTAAAGACGGGTCCAAGCCTCATCCGTGTATCATCACACGACATGCACATATGATAGCCGTTTTCGTGAAAGTGAATCATCTTTCAGAATGAAGCTTATGCATGTGCGAGAGATAACCCCTATATACCATATAACAATAGATTGCATTAGGTCTAGGTGGCATTGATTCATCTCTAGATGAGAACTTGAAATCCATAGACTGGGACTTCGACTCCTTGCCTATTGGCTAGACTTTAGTAACCTACTAATGGGCCCCTGCATAGACTATGGGTCATAGGCGATACTAGGTCGGTTTGAGAAAGCAAGCGTGGACCGTAGTCCACAATAGAAGGTGGAGTGCCCCAGTGTTTATTTATTTGTTCCTAGAATATATATATCATTTTTCCATTGAAGTATTTAATTATGTTTGTTTTAATGTTAGATGAGTTCTAGAATTGTTATTTGAATTTTTTTAAAATATCTGAATATTTTATTTATCAAATTTGGATTTATAAAAATAGAGATATTGATTTCATATTGATTTAATTATTCAAATATGATTTTATGAATTTATAAAAACCATAATATTATTTTTAATATTTTTATATTGCATGGGAGGCCCAATAAGATAAATGGACCCATCATGTCAATTGGGTGGGGCACGCCCCACTCATGGCTTCTTGGATCTCTCTCTCTCTCATCTTGTTAAGGGTTTAGGGTGTAGTAGAGAGATGTTATCTCTCTCAATTAGGTTATCAATGAGGTTCACCTATATTTGCGATTTGTGATTGAAAAGAGTTCATGTTTCATTAGAGTGGCTTGGCCTAAACTTGCTTTTCCGAGATTGAGATTGAAGGTTGACCATCGATCCCACGCCATTGGAAGATGTTGGCTCTCTGTAGGGTGTAAGAAGCTTAGTTGAGGTAATCTCCGACACTCTCTCTATTATTTCTTGTCATTTTTACTTATTGTGTTTTTTATTATTCTCAAGCATAGTTTGTGCCTTTCTTTAATTATTAAAAGAAATGTTTCGAGTGACATCAAGTTTTAAGATCCTATATTTATTTCTTTTGAAGTTGATTTATTGTAAAATGAATACTTGTGAGTGATCAAAACCATGAAGAAAAGGTAAAATAATAATAATAATAAAAGAATATATACTCCCACTAGATCATATAAAGTCTTTCTTTCAATTAATGCGGACATAATACACTTCCTTTTGCATCCTTTTGGGAGTCATGGGAAGACATTTTTAATAAAGAAATAGCTATATGAGAGAGGGACATGGCCTCCTACAGAAACGTGGTTGTCCTAAGGGATTTTGGTTGGCTCAACTTTTTTTTCTAGAGAGAAAATCACTCTACTGCTCTCAAGGTTATCTTTTTTATGGTAGTATAATGGTGGGAAAGATGAGGTTGATCAACAGTATTACTCAATCAAAAGAGTGGGTTTAGAAGAGAAGATTGATGAGGTTTTTGCTGATGTTTAAAGAGAGGTATATCTCTTGTAATTTAAAACGGTAATATTCACTGTGGTAGCGGATTTCTACTTGTCAAGGCTGTGAAATCGTATTTTATGGTGTGCCTTTTGTGTATGTTATATTTCTTGTACTCGCTTTATGATAGTATCCACCCATTTTATGCTTAGCCAACTATGTACACGAATCTTCAGAGGGATCCGAGTATTTGGGATTCATAGCTCCACAAGTAAGGATCCCAAAGATTCTACAGTTGGCATCGGAGCACAAGGTGTGTATGGGGCTAAAGTTTGAATCTTCAATGAAGAAAAGGATGAATGGCTAACTTCTATAGATATATGGCTTGTGAAGAAGAAATGTGGAGGCAAAATGCTTCTGAAAAATCCACAATATGGGGGCAAGAGAGAATAAATCAAGAAATGTA